CATCGAAAACGTTGCGAAATCGTCGAATGTACGCTATGTGTCCGCCTCACTTTCAAAGAGTCGGTACCGAATGTTATTCGATCCTGCCACAGTCCAGCAGCTGGTTAGAGGCGCACTTTTTCTGCAAGGACAAAAATGCAAAATTGGCAGAACCACAAAAGAATGCCGATCGCAAATTGCGTAACTTCCTCAAGCACTACGATGCTGAGCGGCTATGTAAGTAAAATGAATGTCGAGTATATACAAGTAATTATTTTATATAAAAACGCTTTCTTAGTTGCAGTAAATGAACCCATTTGGATTGGCGCTACTTACGATTGGCAAAGTAATGTATGGCAATGGAGTATTAGTGGCAAAAACTTAACCTATGACGCATTCAGTCGGATGGAACCTGAGTAATAAGACTATTTCTTTTTTCACTTTTTATATAATTAGTTAAGTAAGGGCAACTTTAAAACAGAACACTACCAGAACAGACACTTGCTTGATGCAGATCCCACACCCCGGTAGCACGTCAGTAGTAGGCATCTCTAAGTATGAGCTGAACCACTATGTACAACAACGGCTGGGCCTGGTACTGAAGAGACGACAGCCTGTAAACGGCATTCACATGGATACTGTTTGCACCCGCACAGACTCCCTTCCTGTGAATGCCATTATCAATGCCCAAACACCATCTGTGGATGAGTGTGGAACCGCATCACGCTGGCACAGATTTGCGTATCCTTGTGTACGAAGGGCCTTACAGTCTAGATACTGGAGCCGTCTAAACAGTTACATATCCAGACTCGACCACACCCCCATACCCCCCTCCCACCAAAGAGGATCCAGCATGTGGAGATTCCCCACCCCCCTCCCTCCTCCCCCCGACACCAACCTCCTCTTCACAACTTAACTAAAACCACTCCCCCTCTGGTTCGACCCCGTCGAAACATTACGTTTTCTTGGCCTGCCGCTATATGACCTACCCGATCGAGGCAGGGCTAAATGAGCCGCAACAACAACAACAACCGTACACTACAATGATGCAGGGTGGTCCTTAAATTGCTTTTTTTATTCACATGTTATTTTGACAGTGACAACTCTTTCCCGCGGGAAATCTTGATAGAAAGTCATTATCATATCTCCGCGGAACGAAATGAATCGGTTGACGCTTGAACGACGTTGGGTAAATAAGGCAAACTTATTTCCAAAGTCAATGTTGTGTAGTCCTACTAGTACGTTTATTTTAAAGAATTTTTAGACGTAATGAGATACCAATCCCGCCTACTGTACTCGAGTTTGTGCAAAAAGTTTGTGAGACTGGCATGCTGGAGAGCTACACTCACGATTGCCGCCGTTGCGCCATGCGCTCTGACGAGATGTAGCACCCGAAGTCGAGAGTGTGCAACTCAGTCCTGGAACATCGACTCTCCATCAGTCCATGTTTGTGAAAATAAATATGTGTTGGTTACACCAACATGACTCTTGGCATGACTCTGAATGATTCAACTGTGTGTAGTCGAAGGCAAGTCAACGCGTACACAAATGACTCGCGAGTCGGACGCACCGAAAATGCCGCTTATAGTCATTTAAACCCACCATGCAAATGGTCAATGGCAACAAATTGGCGACTCACAGATTTATTGCTGTGGTGACAAATCGGCAACATCATTTCTTTCGTGTCAACTTTGGAATAAATAAGTTATCAAAAATTCCCAAACTTATCCAAAATCCTCTAATTTTTACCAAGGACAAGATTAAAAAAAATAGGAAGTCCCATAGCGAAAGAAAAAGTTAATTCCGTTTCTAAGTTCCAATTGCGTATATAAAAAATAAATGAAGTATTAGATAGAATTGAATTATTCCAAATATCACCTGCAGCGATAAGAAAACGACTAATTCAGTTAATAAGCAAACGACTCGCCCAGGCGAGTTGCCTTCGGCGGACGATTAGGAGCGACTGGTAATAGGAATTCGATACGATGGCAGTATTAGAGGCAATAGTTTTCTTCATGATAAAAACATAACAAGGTAAAACCATTGAGAGGCAGTCTGACGTTTGCCAACAATATAATTTTAAAATCAAAACTCAAACTCACACACACATTCTCATTTTCAATCTCAAACAACAACAATTGTGAACAATTTAATTTTTTTATTTTCAATTTTATATGATTTTAAAATGTTGGCAAACGTCAGAAAAAAATCATGGTCGACGAAATGAGAGAATGAATTTACCTTGTAATGTTTTTATCATGGTTTTCTTATTGCTGGCAACGAAAATTGTTTTGCTGGGAAATTGCTTGCAAATGTCAAGAATTTTAAGTGTCTCTCAGCGGTTCTAATATTACTATATTTTTATCATGAAAATTTCTGTGAAGATATTCATAGAAACTTTACCATATACACCAGCCACCTATAAAATACGGATGTTTACTCGGGTATTTACCCAGTCTGTTCTGGTAGGGCAGCTTGTTTCTGATATACTATGTACGTACTTCACATGTACATTGATCTGAAAAATTAAAGTCTATCTTAATTTGTACCTATTTGCTTACATTTCATTTAATTATCAAGATATAACTAATGAGCGCATGTTTTGCAGGATCAGGCAGAATTTGGAAAACCATTGCGCTGTGTATGACCCAAATCTGGATTACAGGTAAATGAAGATATAAATGCTTTATACATATGTACATATCGCACACCGTTTTAAAAAGAGTCACAACTCAAAATAATACGTTTGTCAGAAAATGCGAAAAAACTATTTCTTAGCACATGGCAGTCATATGGGCAAGGTCGACTTTAACTTAGTTTTTTTAACAAATTATAACAAAAATTTGCTTAAGCTTTTGCTGAAAGGTAAATAAAAGCTCTGCGTACATTTTTAGTGCATAATCTCAAAAATGCCATATTTCGAGTTGTGTCTCTTTTGAGGACGGCGCGCGCAATGTATGTATGAATACTTAAGCAACTTTTAAAGATATTGCCAAATAAAAATATGGCCAGAAACTATAGAACTAACTCCATTCTGCAAGTCATGACACGTATACCTTTCTGTGGAAAATTTCCCACTATGACAGCGTAATAAAATTAATTAAAAATTTCCATGTACCGTATATACGTTACTCACATATGTATGCATGGATGTATCTGTACAGTATGACAAATAGTCATTTAATTGCAATGCCATAACGCAGTCCTTACCCACTCCCGAGTTAGGCGAACGTTGGCGTTTAACCCATTACTTAAAATGCGAGCGGTTAACGTGTGAAATTGCTAATCAAGTTGTCCGACTGCCCATCAACTTAAAGCGTATTGCATTCAATTGACGTGCTAATGATCTGTAGCGCCAGACAAGAATATAAACACAATTTTATACGCAGGCATACGTACATATCGTCGTTTAAAAGTACAAAACCGCGTAACTGGCATTAGCTGCCAAAAATTGGATTTGCTCACACAAGCTCTTGGCTCAATCCTTATCCATTCATCCTGAAATATACGGGCCAGGTATGCGATTGCTTTATAAAAAAAAGAACCATTTTGAAATATGAGTGTTTCTACTCTCTAGAAGATAATTTACCTAATTCACATACGCGACATGCATTATCTTGGTACGCGGTTTTGCAGTTTTGTTGATACGCGGTTTTGTACTTTAAACGACGATATGTGCATTTCTCAAGACTGTGAACTACAAAAATGCATAAGTGAAATATGTACATATACATACATATGCATACGCTAAAAATCATAAAGCAGCCAACTTGCAACGTGAAATGTATTCAAAATTTGGCGTAGTAAAATAAAATATTTTACTATACAAAAGCATACAATTTAGCTTTACTTTCACCACACAGCACATTGCATAATAACAATTAAAAAAAAAAAAACCAAACCAAAAACATCGCTGATAAAACTTTTGTTTTTCTGCAAATAGGTGGTCTGCACGTCCTTGTCCGGACAAATTCCGTTTCATTTGTCAACATAAAATGCCGAAAGTCAGTGAGAAGAATCGTCACAAAGTCTACAATCGTTGGAATGCCACCTACCCACATGAATTCGCGAATGAAGTTATATTGGAGGTGATGGATCAACCCGGCAAAAACGGACCCAGGTATGTTATGAATAATAAAAATAAGTCAATAACCAAAGTAACACTTTTAGCGCAAAATTTATTTTATTTTATTTTATTTTTATTTTTTCAAATATTGAAAAGCTAGTAATTGCGATTTCCTGTTCCACATATGTATTTGCCATTATGGGTTAGCATGTCGCGAAATATACATATGTACATACATATATACTTAAGTATTAAATAACCTCATGAAGGAAATGTGAGTAACACGGTTCGGCAAAGTACATACCCCGAAACCCTCATAAATGGTTGTTATGCAAAAGAACGCTTGAATCCGAATATATGTACATATGTACATAATTTTTTGAATTATGCCGTTTACATTATGCCAGTAGCATGTCATTCCAGTGAGTCAGACCAGCGGTGAACTGGAATGACAACTGTTTACATAATTCCAGTTATTCAAAAGCCAGTGAAATTAAAAATGCAGTGGCCATGTATTGAAGACGAGGTTGACGACGAATTAAAATATGAGACTATGACAGTTATACTGGCATGCCAGTATTGGAATTTTACTGGAATGAGTTTACAAGCTTAGCCTATTTTCATACATAAATTTCGTCTGTTTGAAGATCATGAATTCTGTTTGAAATTATTATTAAAATTGTATTTTTTATTGAGAAATTTTGAAAATTTCCACATAAAATAATAAGTGTAAAAAATTACAAATAAATATGCATATTTCATATACATATGTACATATGTACAACAAGAAGTCATATTCGGATTCAGTAGGATATTTTATATAAGAACCAGCAGGAATGGTGCAGACCAACTGTACCCAGCGCTGGCAGAACGCCATAAGAAAGTGCAAAAGTTTTGCCAGCGCCGGGCATGGCTGATGCATATATTTATTTGATTGTTGAATATTATAAATTGTGGAGTCTCCTAAAAAATCGAAGAAACTGAGTCCGGACTTTGCATAAAAATCAGTAGTAGTTAGCGTCAGTTTGGATTTTCTTGTCGATCTATGAAATTAATCATTATCCAACGCTTTCACATCGCTGCAAGCAGATTTAGAGTTTTCTTCTAATACGCCGCATTGAATATCTTCATTGTCACATAGCATATCGCCTTCTGCCTTTGCATCGTCCGGCTTTGATGCATTTTCTTTGCGTTCATTTTCCTCCTGTGTTAGATATTGATCCCAATTGTTAAGTCGTTTCTGTACCTCGGCCTCAGATTCAATAATTCTGAAAACGACAAAAATTTAAAAATAGGATATAAATTTTAATATATCAAAGCTGTCGTTACACACTTGTATTTCGTCTTTCCATCCCAATGCTCTGCAGTCAACTTCCGTTGGCCAAAGAACCGTCCGTGCATCATTTGTATAACCACATCGGCTTCTTCAGGATCAGCCATATTAACTTGTGCGACACCTTCAGAATGGCGCTGAATATTAGTAAACGAGAAATTAAATATACATACATATGTACATGTATTCAGAAAAAAGAAAGCCGGATATGGCAAACTCACATCATAAATGACAATTTTGCGAACTGTACCACATTTGCTGCACTCTTCGCGCAACTCGTTCTGATAGTCCAATATGAGTTGTACTTCCTTCTCGAAAATAGTCGGATCAAAAAGGTTTTTAATAATAACCACCTTCTCATTTTTTGATCGCTCGCCGCGCATCTTTTCCGGTCGCCAATCAAAAAGCCTGATTGAGTATTTAGGAAATTTATTAGATTTATCAGAATAAAAAATGCGATGAATAGAAAAAAAAAAGTCTGGTAAATTAAAACATTTAATACAATTAACTGAATCTCTTCAGCTCGAAAACCTGGACAACTGCATTCTGCATAGACATTTTAACAGTTCAGCCCGACCTAACGGAATACCCCTAATATAACGAAATATCAAGAGGCCGGCAATAAACTTACTTTTCCTTCATTTTCTGCAATTTCTCCTTGTCTTTCTTCTTTCGTTTCGGCTTCAATGCTGGATTATACTCTCCACGCATTTGAAATTCGGCACGTTGAACACGAATTTTATGACCGCGCAGGTTGTAGTCATCCAAGATGTTTAAAGCCAGGCCCACAGACTCCACCTACGTAAAGAGAAGAAAGAGAGATTAGTTACAGGATATTTAAAAAACATAAAATACTTTAATTTTACAATGATAAATTCATAAGTTAAATCGTATTAGCAAGGAATGCCCGAAATTAAGCCAAAACTCTTACGAATTATTCCTCTATTTCAGGTCGAATGTTATCGTCAAAGCCGTCGGCAGCGAGGAACAGATCGTCATCCCCAAAACCCGCACTCAACGTCAAGGTGGAAATCGCGGACGCGGACGTGGTCGCCCTCACGACTTGCGGCGCCGCCCCCAAAACACCCAAACTAGACCGAGTGTTCATCCAAACGAAATCGATTCTGAATCGACCGACAAATCGACACCCACTTCATTAACAACGGCAGTACGTTATAACGAAATACCCGCTCCCACGACAACGGCTCCAGTTACAGGACCACGCCGGCATAGCCATCCACGAACGCCCCATGACCGCACCGTGTGGCGGCAACGACAGAAGGAGATGCGTCGGCTGCAACGTAAAAAAGAGCGAAGTCAACACATGCAACAGGAAAAGGAACGACGTCTGATCGAGCAACGTCAACGCATACGAGAAAATCAGTTGCGTATGCAGCAGCAACGCGAACGTGAGCAGCAAGTACAAGATCAAGAGCAACAGGACCAGCAACAAAAATCACATGAACAGCCAGAGCAACCGGAACAGTCCAACCGCGAAGTAGATGAACTGCGCCAGCGCGCCGACCAAGAACGTCAACGCCAGCAACAGCAGCAACAGGCAGAGGCCGAAGCCAAGCGACGCGAACACGAGGAAAGCCAGCGCGAATTGAAGGCACTGAAAGAAGAGCAGAAAAGGCGTGAGGAAGAGTATAGTAGCGCCGAGCGCATACGCCAGGAACGTATAAGTCGCCAGCGCGAACGCGAACAGCAGGAACGCAAAGAGCGAGAGGAAGCGCAGCGCAAGGCCGAAGAAGAACGCGCCAAGGACGAGGCAAAGCGGGAACAAGAACGTTTGGAGAAGGAGAAGCAGCAACGGGAAGAATACGAAGAACGCTTGAAACAGGCAGAGGACGATCGTGAACGACAGCTGCATGAGCAACAGGAACGAAAGCGCCAGGAAGACGAATACAACCGTAGGCGATTAGAAGAAGAGGAAAAACAACGTCAAGAGGAAATCAAGAGACAGCAAGAAGAGGAAGAGAAGCGGCTGGAGCTGCAGCGACTCGAAGAAGCGCGTAAGCTAGAGAAACAAGAGCTGGAGCGTCTTGAGGAGGAGAATCGCCGCCGGGAAGAACTGCTGCGCCAACGGGAAGAAGAGATCGCGCGGCGCGAGGAAGAACAACGGAAATTCGAAGAGGAAGAGGAGCGCTTAAAGAAGGAGCTCGAAGAAGCGGAAAGACGACGCAAAGAAGAACACGAAGCCCAGATCAAACAGGAGGAAGAAACACTCAAGGCACAAGAGGAGGCCGAACGAAGAGCAGCCGAAGAGCAGGAACGTCAACGACAAGAACGATTTGAAGCGCTGAAAAAGCAAGAAGACGAGCGTGTGCGACAAGAGCTACAAGAAAAGAAACGCAAGTATGCAGAGCGACTCTCACGCCTCTCACCCGAGGACCAACGCAAATTCTTCGAAATGCGAAAAGGACGAAAGGCCAAGAAACTACAAGAATTACACAAACAGCAACAACAAGCGAATGGCGGCAACGAGGCCTTCGAAGACAAGTAGATAGAGCGCAGGAAATTCGCCAAATCAAATGATATTAGAATTAATGGGATAACAGCGGTGTTGAGCCGACGCTAAACAAGGAAATGAAGTCGCTGCTCGACTGTTGTAGCTTTGATTTATCCCAAAAACCTCGTTAAGAAATTAAGCTAAATATAAGTCATTTTAATTTATGTATGTAAGTCATTGCTGCCATTCTCTTTTATTGCGAAACACGCTCAATGCTTCTTGTTTTTAGGTCTTCATAATACTTTTTTTTCTAATTTGATAAAATGCAAAAATTTAAGAAATAATATTTAAAAAAACAAAATGTATGTATGCGTTAATAATGCCACTGAAGCACTAGTATTAGCTTTAGTTGCAAACGAGCAGCGTTCCAGTGACGGCTACTGCTTGACAACAGTTGAAAGTACTCTCGATTGTAAATTACGAAAATAAAATATTTTATTCTCATATAGTTATTGATTTAGAAGTGGATCTACAATAGGCAGCTTAAGAAAAAAATAATAATAATTTAAGTAAACAATAATAATTTCAGAAAGTCGTAAAATAATAGTTGTTCGTTTTTTTGTAAATAGGAATCACAAAGATTGGAAAATAAAATTATGAAGAGTGCATGCACGACTACTACCGTTTTGTAACTGTAATTTACGATTCAACACATGTACACATAGTGATTATACAAACATAATAGTTTTAATTCCATTTTATGTAATATTTATGTAAAAGCACTACCAACTTTTCCTTAAACACCCAATAATTTAACACCTAAGGGATTCACAAGATAAGTATGCAAATGTTCTACCAAACTTTTACACAGAATAAATCTGCATAAGCACACATGTAAATACATACATAGATGCAAAGCAGGAACTATTAAAGAAATGCCATAAACAAAACATTATTTTGGGAGTTGTTTAGTTCTTCCAAAAAAACGAGTACTAATAACAACATAGTCGAGCAAAATACCAACAACTGCTTACGGCACAACCAGTGACGACTGGTTCTTTTATGATTTTTTCTGACGAATTAGAACCGTTTTTAGAAATTATTAGATGGGCTCTAGTTTTTGAGATGTTTGCGATTTAATTTGTGAAAAAAACGGATTTTTTCCATTTTTTAACTTTAAAAATTGTGTACTACTTCTCTCTTAGAACTTAGAACAACTTTTAAACAAAATTTTATGGATGTGAGGAAAAGATACATATAAGAATATAACAGATCGCATATGCGAATTTTTTTTTAAGAAAAACATGTATTTGTGACTAGATAATGTATGCGGAATCAAATTTTTCATATTTTTTGATACTTTTGATCCCAAATAACTCGAAAACTAGAGCCACTTGAATAATTTGACGAACAGATTCCTAATCTATGGAAAAAATCCTATTAATATTGTTGGCCTACACTGGCATACATTTTAATAATAAAAAATTTTCTAACGTAACTCAAAGTTTAGGACTATGAACATGATTTTGGAAGCTCATCGTTAATACTATAATATTACTAATGTAAGACTTTTGTATTTTTAATTTTTAAGAATTATAAAAATGCTGCTTAAATAGGTTATAAAAATGCCATTATTGAAACGATTCGCTTTTAACAAATTTTAAAATACAATTTTAATTTTCAATGTTAAAAGCAATACTTAAACGATATATGTATGTAGTATATTAACACAAATGTTTTGTATGCATTAAATAAAACTATTAAACACTTTTTTAATGTATGCATATTATGTAATTGTTATCACTTTCAAATGTTACCATGGTTAAGAAATGCAAACGTTTGTAAATATTCAGATATGTACATACCTACATACATACCTAGTATATGTACATATACATATATGTATGTACACGTATCATAAAAAAGAGCGAAGGTTATAAACCCATTCGAAATGTGCAGCTAAATACATTTTTTTTTATCTTATTATTACCTCACAGTATGCTTTTCGTCTTATAAATAAATATAAAAAATAACACATTCACACTTCATAATATGAAAGCAAATTGAATTCAATTTTAATACATGGTACATGTATTTAGGAAATGTTATGTAATTTAATAAAAGTATACACTAAAATATCGAGCACCGTAAATGAACTAACCATTGACTTTAAATTAAAATAGTCTAACGAAAATTTAATAGCGGTATGTTGTAAGTGTAACATGGTACATACATACATACAGTAACAACAAATAATACAAAAAAAATCGGCAAATCTAGCAAGTGTATGTGAAAATAAAAAACCAACAATAAAGTTTTAAAAACTATACAAAAACACGAATTGAATATTGTTTGAATTTGGAATTAAATAGCACAATGTTATCTGGGAAGTTAAATGGAAAGTAAATGATCATGTCGTACGAACTCCAGAACTGATAGTGTTTCACGCGGATTCCGTTGCTGTTCTGCGATGGAAAGACCTGGTGGTGAAGGACTTGGCCTCGCTTTTCCTTTCCATCTGGTGTCAACTTTTTTGCAATAAAATCAAATATCTCAGAAACGAGAACAGATCGCGAAGTAACTAAGTATGTATGTAATAATGCAGCGTCTCAAATATGCAGCAATTTCCATTCTTACGGTTACTTGAAGACAGTACGAATGGAAACCGCTTTCAACAACAACATTAAGAAAACCATTTGCTGCATATTTGTAGGCGCAGCAAGAATTACTTCACACTGTCGACGGTGTCGATTGCACAATTGTCGACAATGACGATTGTACAATAACTCAGTGAGAGTATGTTTGTATGTTTTCATAAAAAAAAAATATTTATTCGAATAAACAAGCTGGGTAGGCACTGTGGTTAATAGTAAAGTTCGTTTACCACCTCCTGGCAAGATTGCAAGTCATGCAGAGTCCGCAAAATCCTCCCGAATCTGGCATCAAATTATAACCTAAGAAAGTTGTATTACATGGGCGTTGAGAGTTCATGTGCAAAAATTTCATAAATTGAATGAAGGAAATTTTTGCACATGCAGCAGTACGTAGCATGCATTTAGGCGTCCGGTGTTAGCAGTCGCGTCTAAACAGTCGACGCATTTTAAAGTTAATAGAATTTTAGAACAAAGCGATGTGAACTAAAGGGCATTGACACAGTACAGCGGTTCATGCTATTGGCAATATTCAATATTAGTTACTACATTGACAATGAAAAGTTCAGAACAATTGGTATCAAGACCCCACGTTTTGTGTCCCATTAAAGTAAATTTTATTGTCAATCACTTTGATCCCATTTTAAGATAGTTTAAAAAGTTAAATCAAATCAAAATAAGGAAACTTCCTCTAAAACGATACCTTTACATCTATAAATTATTTTACCCTTTTTGTTCACGTAATAAAATCGAATTTTTAGTTTTAAACTATAATTTTATTTGACTCGAAATTAGTATGTACGAACTTTTTGAAAACTTTTAACATACATTTTTGGTTTTCTTACCTCAATTCATTTCCATGATAACAAGAACCAAAAAATATATTTAACCCTCTTTAAACCTTTAGACCTTAAGACCTTTAAAATTATCTTCAAAAGTATTTTTTTGCCAAACATAATAAAGAATTTAAATAACTTATTTGCAGCTAGTTTGTATTTTTACACTTCCAAGCTTTACGCTTTTCTGAGTATCTATTAAGGTAAATAATAACTTCGCATTTATATAAACTAAATTAGCCATTGAAAAGTTTTTGTTACTCACTTTTATGTAGTCACACAAGCCATCCCCTTTCAACTGCCCATCCGGCTCGGCATATAGTTTAAGTTTATACTTTTGCGTCTGTGGATCGCGCATTATCATACCACATTTACCCATAAGTTCCGCGAACTCATCCATTGTGATGTCCAGCGGCAAATTGGAAACGTAAACTTTTGTGTTGTGCTCAGGATCCAATTCAAACCATTCTAAAAATATACTTTTTCTTATGTTACATGTTAAGATGACTTTCGAATAACAATGGATTGCATTCTAGTTTATAATGATTCGAATATAACTAAGTATAAAAAGTTGATTCTTAATTTTCTATATGAAATTGTTTTCACGTCACACACATTCGCAAATCGGCTCAATAATTTCAAATCTACTTACTTGGTGGCTCTTGTGCTTTTCGCTTAGCACCGGCAATCGTGGTTGTCGTGGCGTCACCAGCTCCTTTTAACGCTGCGTCTGTCTCTTCTGCAGCGGCTTTTGCCTCCTCAGTCATCCGCTGCAATTCCAGTTCTTTGAGCTTTTCAGCTTCCTCGGCCTTGCGCCGCTTCTCCTCCTCTGACGCGCTGGTATTATCTATGAAGCCGTAATTCATCTGGTAGTGCGCCATAAAGTCATCATCGATTTTCGGAAACCAAGCATTCTTTGTGGCATCCCAGAAGAAGACTGTTCCATCCTTGTCTGTATAAATGCGATTTCCGTCCTCATCAATATCGTAAGCCACATTTGCGGGATCAGAAGTAGCAGGCTTTGATGTTGGATTTGTTTGCGCACCAATATCTTTTGGTATCCACTCTCCCTTCTCAGCATCCCATTTGTAATGTTCGGTCTCTGTCGTTTGCACTTTAGGTATCCACTTTTCAGTCCGGCTGCACCATTTGTAGTGTTCATTCTCATAGGGGTTGGCCGTGGTCTCTGCTTTAGAGTCATTCTTTGCCGTGTCGCAAGGGAGCCAAGTATTTTCAGTTTCACTCCACTTGTAGCGATATTTGGTTTTGGGGTCTGTGTAAATGGCGCTGCCATCTTCCTCATACGTCACGTGTTGCGCATAGTTCACATCCACATCCGTACCGGCGGAAACTGTTGGAGAAGAAGAATTCGCTTCATCGTTAACATCTGTGACAGCTGGATTTATAGAAGTTTCGCTAAGTTCTTTGCTTGGGTTTTCAATAGCTGTGGAGGACTCCAAAGATCCTTTTTGCATTTTCACGGGGCAATCTTCTACATCTTCCTCTGTACTCGTCTTGATTGTGGTTAGTATAGTACAAGCAGCATCCGTATCACTATAAGAGGTTTTTTCTATTTCTTTGACCTCTGTTGACTTCATACTTTCCGCTGTTTTCTCATTCTGTTCTGTAGAAGTAAGAGGGCATTCTTTTAGGTCTGTGACCGCAGGATTTATAGAAGTTTCGCAAAATTCTTTGCCTGAGTTTTCAGTTACTGTGGAGGACTCCAAAGAATCTGTTTGCATTTTCAAGGAGCAATCTTCTACATCTTCCTCTGTACTCGTCTTAATTGTGGTTAGTATAGTACAAGCAGCATTCGTATCACTAGAAGAGGTAATTTCTTTTTCTTTGACCTCCGTTGATTTCATACCATCCCCTATTTTCTCATTCTGTTCTGTAGAAGTAAAAGTGCATTCTTTTAGTTCTATGACAGCAGGATTTATAGAAGTTTCGCTAAGTTCTTTTCTTGGGTTTTCAATAGCTGTGGAGGACTCCAAAGATCCTTTTTGCATTTTCACGGGGCAATCTTCTACATCTTCCTTTGTACTCGTCATGATTGTGCTTGGTATAGTACAAGCAGCATTCGTATCACTAGAAGAGGTAATTTCTTTTTCTTTGACCTCCGTTGATGTCATACCATCCGCTGTTTTCTCATTCTGTTCTGTAGAAGTAAGAGAGCATTCTTTTGGTTCAATTGAGGTAGATGAAACTGATTCTTCGGACTTCGGTGTTGGTGTCGCAGATGTGGTTAAATAAGTGTTTATTTCTGGCTTGGTCACTTCTTCTTCAACATTCGAAGATATTTCTGTAACATCTCTTAAGTTCTCACTCATCTTGCATTTTTTATCTGAAAAAATAAAGTAAATAAAAAATACAAAATAAAATATTTCATTACATCGAGCAATAGTTTGTTGGTCAAAGAAAACATTTACAATAATTTCGAAGGATTTTATTAGAATCAAATAAGATGGTGGTACCACTACAAAACCCTTTGCAAAACTACATGTCAAACAATACTATCAACCAGGTGGTCGTTGTAGCCGAGCTGTTGGATGTGCGTGCTACCACGGTTGACGTGGTCCAAATTTATGCGGTAACATATGTACACAATCAAAAAATAAAAAAATTCCGACGAATTGATACCTTCTCCTTTTTTGAAGTCGGTTAATAATGATTTTGGTTCTCTCCAACAACTCTAAACTGAACGAAGCGTAGGTTCATAATTTCGAATTCTATCAATCCGCTTTATTGTTTGAGAACTTTGAATTTCAAGGACACGAATAAGTGAGTATACAATTTACAAACTGTGCATGTATTTTAAAATTTCAGATATTAAAACAATAAAGTGGTTTTTATTCTTAATAATGGTGCCTACGTACATACATACATATTTGTCAACAGTGTCGTTCAACAGCTCAGGCTAATGCAGCGGTGCGGGACAGATAGCATTAATTAAAGTGGTTAATTGCTTCAGGTAAGATTATAATTTAGCTTGAAGGAAGTTTACGCGCAAGTTTAACACTTTTCATATTATAGTATATGAAGGACGAAGGTATAAACTTTTCCAGTAAAAGTCACAAAAGGCATAAAAGCTATCATTAATAGAAAAAACTTGTAGACCTTAAAAAACATAAAATCAAGACTAGTATATATTATACATAGATTGTCCTCCTCCAAACCAAACACCAGATTTTACTAATTTAACTGTACTATCAAAATTTCTCCATTTTAGCTTTTTGATCAAATTATAAGTATTGAAAGTTTCCATTGGTCCGAATATCCTACTCCCTCTGAAGGTCAAAGCAAACTCGCTTACATTCGGTTTCCTGACTTGTTAATTTTTGTTATTCTTAGCCAAAAAAAAAAACTGCCTGCGTGCCGAGTTGTTAAAAATCAACCAGAGAAAAGGGAAAGCGGTTTGAGATCACCGAAAAGCAAAAGCTTTGCATGTATGCAAAACTTACAAGTGTCACTTTACGGCGCTCAAGTACTTACACATACGTGAATAAAAGCTTCAATTTAAATATGCCCAAAAAGTCATTGACCAGAGGCCAACTTCCATCTAATATAAGCGTGCATAAATATTTATATGGGCATGATGTTTTTCCTAGCTATGTATATAGTAAAAATTTGTATGTATTTCGGGTCCGAAATATTGATTGACTGTTGTTATTCTACACAAAAAGCACCTTAACTTGTCAAGTTAATAAGCCGGAGAGTAAGAATTTTAGCCTCTCGTTTCGATTGGCAGTTAAGACATATCGTTTACTTTATGAATACTTAACGAGCGCAAATTAGGCTATAGAATTTTGAATCCGAGGACAACCAACGGTCATATGCGCATTAATGTCTTCTCTTTTTAAATATATTAGATACTTATGTACATACTATGTGTATACAAAAGTCAATCAACTACAAAGGTTAATGTCCTACTCGACAAAGAAGTATTCTTCTGTAGCAGAGTACTTACTTACACACACATTATAATGCATAAGCTTAAAAAAGAAAGTTTAATACCGAAAATTACTTTGAAATGAAACTGAAACCAAAACTTTCACAACAAAAACCGCTAGCAAAACTGTTTTACTACCTTTCTGCAGTAAAAATATGCAGTTCAAGAGGTCAACGTCATTCGGGTAAAACACACACAAACTAAAACACCGCTCACCATAACTTTTGCGACTCAATAATTTAAATGAACATCAATACTTGCATACGTAGCACATTGTGTTGTATACACATGCATACAAGTGCACTTTGTCTATACTTTAATGGTTTCAAAAGTAGTTGAACCTACTAACTTGGCACAACTCCCCAACTTCCGTATAAGTGGTAACTATAACAAAAACCAGCCATCTTCTTACTGTTTTGTCTTTTTAGCCCATTTTCAAGCTGGTCGAAACAAAATTGCATATCTACCCTGCAGGGAAACCGTGAACTAGTGAATACAATTTCTAGTTCCGTACAAGATCTTTATCGCTAAAAACGAACCAGTCCGATAGTAACAAGGTCCCCGCCAGTTCAAAATCAGTGAAATGTGGTTCTCTTAACAAAAAACAATTTTATTTCACTTTTTCGTTAGAAATCTATATCTAAGGTGACGAATTTAGAACTGGTTGGGAATTATAGAAAAATGGGTGCAGGACGAACTATATCTTGTCTGTCGAATTTAAAACTAGTTCGGAGTTATCGAAAAAGGGATGCAACGGGGGCTTTTTTACTTTACATAGATATGTGCTTGGCGGCTTTTTCGTTCAAATGCACTTTCATTCTGCACTTCGCAGATGCTTTTTCATAGTTTGGTAATACAAAAGCAAAACTTTGTGTTAACATTTTAACATCTTGGGACCGTCTGGAATCTAACCAATAACGGCGAGCACCTCTGCAAAGTCAGGTACAGCCAAAGGTATGTAAACGTATGTAGTTTCAAATTGAAAAAAAAAATATTTCTTTAAAATAATTTAAAATCGCACACGGAAGAACCGAAAAGACTGAAAAATCATGATACTTTTTTCTTTCGTCTGTCGATTTTAGAACTGGTTCGGAACTATAGAATTTAGGACTAGTTCGGAAATATCGAAAAATGGATGTAGCGGTGGGCAATTCACACTTCCTAGAACATCACCGTGTTAAATTCGCCAGTCGTTTACATGCAAAAGAGATTTATCGCGAACCAGTGCTCGGTCTAAATGTACTAGAAGCGCACCAGTGCAGAACTAGAGATTTTTCCCACAGGGTACATGCACAAATTAGCATACTAATACATTGAAATATGTAGGTACATATGTATGTACTACGTGCATTGCCGAAATATAGCCTGTCTCTTAGCTGGCCATTTTTTCGGCTGAAATAGCAACTAAAACTATTCCATGTCTACACATTACTGCAAATTCGACATGAAAGCAAGGGTGGGGTCGCAACCTAGTCCTGATACATAGCATCAAATAAAATGAAGTTGTACTTCTCTTTCAGCGCCAGTGCTGCCAGTTGAGCTATTTTGTAGCTAGATTTAGCTGTATATATATTAGCGCTGTCTTCGGCTATGCCGAAGGCTTCATCCCTTTTATGAAAATCTGAAAATTGTACTTTAACAGATTGCTGCATTTGAAATAATTTATATGTATGTTCACAGCATACATAGACAGAGGAGCTACATTTTTCAGATAATGTTTCACAACAAAATAGGTTATTAGCAACACTAATTATTGCCACCATTTCAAATTACAAATCCCGAAAATCCCGGGATTATTTGCCAAGACTTAAAAAAGTCCGGTATGCATAACAGAGCCTTAATGCCGAGAGTTAATTCCAAACTCCGAGCTTTCACGTATTCCGCGACCATATGAAGAAATATATCCATACCTGTAAAATCATAGTTTCACTCTTTCAGAATTAGCATTCTATTTGTTTGCAGCTCTCAAGAAAAACGAAAAATTCATATAACCGGGCCGTTACCAGGGCCGGATTGTGAGCTCGATTTTGGGAGGAGAAATAAGAATCAAAAATTTTGTACGCCCAAGTATGATCAATGAATTATATTATTGCAAATCATATGTTTTGAGACATATGTTTTTGAGAAATACACAGCGTAGTAATTTTAAAATTTCAAAATTACATTTCTCGACTGAAAAATAAAATATTCGACCTAACTCGACGGCACATAGTGCGCTTTTTTAACACTTTAGGCCAATTAATTGTAGCGCTTTCGGCAGAAGAAATATTTTGATATGAAGCAAAATGACATTGAAAGCTAATTTAATTGCCATTTAAGAAAAAATATTGCCATTGAGTCACAATCACTCCTTGACCTTAAAAAAATTTATCAAAAATAGTGTTCTTTGAAAAAAAAGCATGCAAAATCCAACGGACATTATTAAAAAAAGAAACATTTTTTGGATTTTTTATTATACTAATATTAAAGATGTTGGGTCGAGAAACATAATTCCACTGTTTAAAAAACGAAAAAAAAAATCAACCCCTCAATTTGAAAAATGCATTATATATTGCATTTTTTATTATTTGCATGCAGCTGTGCATCCTTCGCACAATTTTTATCCCTCGAAAAACAAGTCAGTTTTAGTGATATTCAAGACCTCTAATTTAAGCCACGATAGAAGTCTCAAGGCCCTTTCTTTCTTTTCTATTATTTATGATTGTGCAAAAACTGAATGAATTGTGCCAAAAGTGCCCTTGTGAATGAAAGTGCCAAAAATTGTACAATTTTGCCTACTTTTCCATCACTGATTATTGTACAAATAACCGAGCCCTGCCCAACAAAATACCTTTTGCTAGTTCAAATTTCGGTTCTAAGAACAAAATGTTTGTAAATAAATAAACAATTTATAAAATTTGGAGGATTTTAGATATTGCATACGGTAGCACGAAATGTCACAATCTACTTAATTGTCAGGTTGTTAATATGGCGACGAAAAAGTGACAATGGAACAACTTCTTTTTTGTATCATGGAATTTACCTTGTAATGTTTTTATCATGGTTTTTATCATACAGCAAGCTTTTTCATATGCGTTTTGGACCTTATACCATGTTCTGACAGACATCGAAAACATGTTTTCGTTGCTAAAACTGGTTTTCGACCTAAAACATGTGTTTTCGTCCATGTAAAATCTGTCAAATGAAAACCAGTTTTCGCTGAAAACTATTTGAAAACTCACGTTCCACTCATTCCAATCGGTGTCTTCACTAGTTTTTTTTCGATTATTTAACGAAGTCGAAGTCGTATTTTCTCATCTTTAATACGCTTTTTCGTATTTATTGTTATTTGGCTGGCCAAACTAAAATAAAAATGAAAGTAAGAGGTTGCTAATGAAAAGAAAATGTGGGAAAAG